GGACAACTCGGGACACGCAGAGGTCCACTTCACTGTGCGCCTCACCGAAGGTCGGTGAGGGGTGGGTCAGACACATATGGAGAGGGAGAGAGGGAGAGGGGGAGAGGGGGAGAGAGAGACAGAGAGGGAGAAAGGACCCCCACACACACGCATGCACTCTCTCTCTCTCTCCCTGTGTGTGTTGTGTGGTGTCTGCGTCGACCACCGCGTGTGCAGAGAAGATGGCCGAGTGCGAGAAGAAGGGTTTGGCGACGGCCTTCAAGCTCAAGACCTCCCTCGCCCTCACCAACATGACCCTCTTCGGACCTGACGGCAAGATCCACAAGTACGAGAGCGAGCTCGACATACTCACAAAATTCAACAGACTCAGACTCGAATTCTACAAAGTACACACACACACACACAGAGAGAGAGAGAGATGTGTGTCGGTCTGTCTGTCTGTGTGATCAGAAGCGCAAGGCCTATTTGGTGGACAAGCTCGAGCGCGAGCTGCGCATCCTCAGCAACAAGGTCAAGTTCGTCCTCGCCGTCGTCAACGAAGAACTCGAAATCCGCAACCGGTCGGTGGGTCCTCATCCGCCCGCGACCACCCTCACAGCATACCCCTCGTGTGTGTGTGTGTGTGTGTGTGTGTCATGTGTTGGTTGTCAGGAAGCGTCAGTTGCTGTTGGACGAGCTGCAGAACTTGGGGTTCGACGCCATGAGTGCCATCCTGGAGGGGGCGCACAAGGGGCCCGAGGGCGACGTGCCTGACCCCGACCAAGTAGACAAGGAGGTAGTTACACCACTACCCCACACAGACAGACAGACAGACAGCCACACGGGCACAGAAACAGTGTGTGTGTGTCATTGTGCTTGTGATTGTGATTGTGTGTGTTGTGTGTGTGGTTAGGATGAGTCGGTTGAGGACGGTGACGAGGGCATGGGTGTGGTCAAGGCCAAGGACTACGACTACCTCCTCGGCATGGCCATGTGGAACCTCACACAGGAAAAGGCAAGCCACGCCATCCACACAACCACACACACACACACACCATTAGACAGACGCCCAGTCTCTCTCTCCGTCTCTCGCTCCGTGTCTGTGTGTGAGTAGGTAGAGGAGTTGCGCAAGCAGAAGGGCGACAAGGAGACCGAGCTCGACACGCTCAGGAGGACCACCGAGCACCAGCTGTGGGAGAAGGACCTCGACGCCCTAGAAGTAGCTCTCGCTGAACAGGTAAGCTACCCCTCCCTCCCTCTCTCTCTCTCTCTCTCCCTCCCCTCTCTCCCCCACACACATTCATGTGTGTGTGTGTGTGTCTGTGTGTGCGGTGTGTGGTTGTCAGGATCGCATTGACGCAGAGGATGCTGCAGCCGAGTTGGACGGCAAGAAGGGCAAGCGCAAGAAGGTCATCTTCTCGCCGCCCAAGGGCAAGGTCGCCAAGGGGCGCATCCCCGCCGCCAACAAAGCCAAAGCCAAAGCCAAAGCCGCCAAAGCCAAGAAAAAGAAGGACAATGACGTGAGCAAGCCGCGCCCACACACACACACACACTGCACACACGTCTCTCTCTCTCTCTCTCTGTCTGTGTGTGTGTGTGTTGTGTGTGTGTGTGTGTGTGTGTGTCAGCTGATGGACGACTCGAGTGACGACGATGATGATGACGATGATGACATGGACGACGACATGGACGAGAGTGACTACGAGGAGGACCAGCAGCAGCAGAAGAAGAAGGCCAAGGAGAAGAAAGGGGAAGACAAGGACAAGGATAAGGACAGGGTCAAGAAGGACGACAAACCCAAGGCAGCCAAACCCAAACCAAAGGTCGGTCTGCCTGCCTCCATCCATCCATCCATCCATGTGTGTGTGTGTTTTTTTTTTTTGTGTGTGTGTGTGTGTGTGTCAGGGCAAGGCCAAGGCCAAGCAGGATGGCGGCAAGGACAAGAAGAAGGAGTCGAGCGAGGAGGGAGACGCCCCCATGGAGGTCATCGACGCCGACGCTGACGACGACGACCATGACGATGACATGGGGCGGGGGGCTGGTGCTGCTGCTGGTGGCGGCAAGGCGGCCAAGGCCAAGGTCAAGGCCAAGGCCAAGCCGAAGAAGAAAGACGGCGACGACGGCCTTCGTGGCGAGGTCAGCCACCCCTCAATGCGCTGTCTATGGTGGTCTCGCTGTGATGCTGTGGTTGGTTGGTTGGTCGATGCAGTTGAACAAGCAGGGCAACCTGTGGGAGCGACTGGAGAGGGCCAAGAAGCTCGCCACCCCACCAGGACAGAAGCGCATTCCCGACAACCATGACGTACGCAGCCAAGCCCCAACCCCCCCCCCCCCCCCCCCC